CAAACTATCCCAAACCTTTTTTTAAAGGTCTTCTTTGCCGTTGTTGCTCTTATTCTGCCATCTCCTGCCCTTCGTTGTTTTAGAGTGAATTTTTTGTGACAAAGGCCATGCTGCTCGGACGATGCAGCGTTAGCCTGCCGGCCTCTGTCGCAGTCGCACCTGGAAAAGGTCAGGTCTGGCACCGACGGTGTGAAAAACCTGCAGCACGTTTAGATTTTCGCCGGTTCATCCCGGCGTGTGCGTCTGACCTCTCTGCACCCGGCAGCAGCCTCGGCTGTGATTCTGTGTTCCAGGAACGTTTGCGTTGCTAAACGGCGAGTGATAAAAGTGTGATGTGAGCGGCCGCTGTAACGCCCGCTGCCTGATGCGGCCTGACTCTAATGGGAGACGTGGTGAATTTTTCATGCAGCCCAGAGGCGCAGAAACAGCAACCGCACTGCCGAGGTTCAACCTCTAAGAGAAAAATAAAGTCTGCAGCAGAGCAAAATCCAAATAAAGTTGAGATGTCCTCATGCCTCCATTGAGCTGCAGTTTGTAACTTCCATAAAAAACTTCCATTTCTTTTTTTTCCATATTTGCTTAAACTGCCACTATGTTGTAACGGTGCACTGCAAAAACACAATATTACCAAGTTTTTTTTTGTTTAGTTTCTACTACAAATTTCTTTGAAAAAAAGACAACTTACAACTTTTCTGTGAGAAATAGGCGCTTGTGTCAAGTAAATAATTCCTTAATATTGATGAAAAAGTTTTAGTTTCACTGTCAGATTATGGATGAAAAACGTATCGCGACTCAGGCGTTTTACATCATTGATATCAGTAATAAGAGATTTTTACTTTTAAATACCTGAAATAAGTCCAAACTGATGGAGTTTTATCCAGTTTTCTCTTAGTTTTTTTTCTTTATGCTTTTGTGAGACCCGGTGGCGAAACCTTAAACTGCTGCTGCGCCAGTTTCTCAGCAGGCTGTTGCTAGGCAACTGAAGTTTGGGGGAACTTGACACTTGTTTGGTGAATGAAATAGTTGATTCCTCCAAGTCTTCAGTTTTTGTATTCAACATAACATTACAGTTATGATTCATATGAGGCCACAAACAGAAAGCAGCTGGATAAACTATATGATTTAGAAAAAGGAATAAAGTGGAATAACATCAAGATCAAACGGGAGGATGTGGAAAATTTGTGCAAGACATTTTTAGCAAGAAACCTTTGCCCTCATCCCCCAGAATGCTGCGTGGTTCTGTATTTTAGTTCAGTGTGTACGCTCCCTATATAAATGTTGTTTATTGTTGTGTACGGTGATATATATATTATTAATTTATTGTCCAGCTCTGGTGGTTCCCAAACTTTGATTAAAGAAGTGAATTTTCCATCTTTGATTCGTCCAAATGAAGATCCGCCGTCGCTCTCACGAACAAAAGCAGATTGAATAATACCCACAATCTCACTTTAATGGGCTAAAATTTCTGCAAGAAAGCTCTAAAAAAATTATCCATCTGTTCAGTGCACACAGCTCACCCGGATAGCTCGTAGCACTGTCTTACATATGCAAATATGTTTTGCCTGGAAATCTATTAGAAGTTGCTCGAAGGAATCCAGAACGGCGCTCCTTCTGTCTGCCTGGCGCGGGCGGGACTCCGTCTCCTGTCGCGTGGAAAACATCTTCACCAGCTCCGCTCGCGTGGACACGCAGCCAGGCAGCGGGCGCCGCCTCGCCGCAGACAGCTTCCACCACCATGGGCCAATATGCAGATCCGATGGCGGCCCGGTCCGCCAGCGGAACAACGAGGCCCTGCAACTGTTTGCTCAGTTGGATAATACATGCAGCATAAGGACACGGGGGATAATTATGAATCTGTAAATTTCTCCTTATGCTAAGTACCTAAAGGTCCCAACTGGGTGCAGAAGCTAAATTAATAAATGCACCTCTGAAGGAATCCACAATTACATGTAATAGACTTTATTTGAGAAACATTTATTTAAAGGAGTTATTGTGCAAAATTCACTTTTTGCATGTTTTTCTATTTCTATTTGGGTTCCAACTGATAATAATAATAATAATAAAGCCCAACAACTTTTGGCAATAAGTTAATATTATTTAATGTCTGGAAACTGAGCCTGTTACCTAGCAACCCCAGCTGAGTTCCAGCATGTTTGGTCAGCTGGTTTTACTGCTGTACAATGGCTGCTGGAAGAGTCGAGCGTTTTCCAGCAGATTTGAAACTTTTGTTTACAAAACTGCAAAGTCAATCAGTGCTTAGTTTCTCAGAAATGTTTTTTGAAGGAATGCTAGGCAAGCTGCCGCTAAAAATTAGCTCCAATATTGGCAGATTATTAGATGTGTTTTGGCAACATTTGAAAGTTTTTTGTTGTCTGGAAAATGAACAATTCAAAAAACCAACGTCAGAAATGAGCAGGTGCTGCCCGTTACCTAGCAACCCAACATGAGCTCCAGCATGTTGGTCAGCTGGTTTTATCTGTACGCTGCTGGAAAAGACAGTGTTTGTCCAGAAACCACGTGCTGCATTCTGGTTGGTTGTGCAGGAGCCTCCACTTCTGCTTTTCATGGTTGTATAAATGGGCATCTAAGTATAACGACACATTAGAAAACTTTCACTTAGTTTGCCTTAATCTAGATGTTTTCCAGTCAGTCTGCGCAGAAGAAAGTCAGAAGACGGAGTTTCGACTTTTCAAACTCAGAAATGTTCATGTTGTCTCTTGAAAAATTCTCCCTTTTTTTGTTTTTAGTACATTTTCTGTTTTTCTAAAACATTTCTGCGATTGATTTCAGTTTTCCTAGCAAATGCTTTTTTTGTGAAACTCAGAAATGTTCATTTATTGAAAATTTTTTGAGGCAAAAATTCACTCCTTTTTCTTTCTGGAATGGCTCTAATATGTCGTCATAGTTTTGAAATTGAATTCATGGAATAAATTCTTTCAGTGGGGATTATCGCTGCTTTTGGGCAGAGATGTGAAAACGTGAGATGAAGCTCTGTGTGTGTCACTGTGTGCGCACCAGAGGGCAGAGATCGGGCAGATGGTCCATAAAGGTGTTACCGCACAGTGAGTGCGCACCGCGATTGATGCATTGCAACATCCAAGAAGGTGGAACATTTGGCTGCTGACCCGCAGTCAGAGCTCGTCGGCCCGGCCTTCTCCTTCTTTAGCTGCAGCCAGAGAGCCGACGGCTCCTTCGCTCGGAGTAAACACTGAACAGCAGCACTTCCCGCCCCGCAGGAAAACCCGCTGGAAAAACTTCTTCCTCGTCTCTGGAAGGAGGTCAGCATGCTGGTGCAGGCCGGACCAAGGAGAAGGTCTGACCCCGGTTCTGACCCCGGTTCTGACTCCGGTTCTGACCGGTTCCGGTCCAAACCAGATCCATGAGCCCAGATTTCTGCAGGGACTGGGCTCGGTTGAACAATACGCTTAGAAATGTCTGTTTTCTTCTGCACTGATTGTCACTGAACATAAATCATTTCGACTTACTGGTGGAATTTATAAAGATGCACTGTAAAAACAGAAAAGCTTCTGTTGCACATATATTACTGCAACTGAAATAAAACAATATGTAAATTACAAAGAAGCTTCACTGGTAGAAAATTTACAATAAAATAATATGTAGCCATTTTTTTTAGTACTTTTCATCAATATTCAAAAACTTTAAACAAGTTTCTGTATCTGGCTGAAAAGTTATTTTGAAGTTAGTCTTGTCTTTAAGTGCTACGATATTTCTGCTGAACTAAACAAAAAATATAAGATTTTGTGTTTTTGAGATTCATCGAATGAAAACACTGCAAAAACACAATCTTTATTGTTTTTGGGAACTTCAGCAAGATTGGAGTTGTTTTCAGGTCAATGGTTCTTGAATATAGATTAAGATATTTTAGTTCCACTGGAAGATTATTTCACGTTTTCCTGTGTTGTAAATAATTTTATTAATATTCAATAATTATCGACTTAAATCAAGCTCCTATATTCTTGGTAAAAAGCACATTTTAATTTTGTTTAGTCTTATTTTAAGTGTACTACTTAAAATAAGTAGTACAGTTTTTGCTCTGCAAAAAGACAAAATCTAATCAAGTATTTTCTTTAGTTCAGAGAATCTGGTAACTACACTGCAAAAAACACAAAATATTCAAAATATTGAGCATTTTTGTGTAATTTCTAGTTCAAATGTCTTATCATAATCCTTCGGTGGTGTTTGATTTCTACATCATATTCTTGAAATTCAAACTTTGGTTTTGTGATATAGTGCAATCTAACATTTAATTAAAAGCATAATAAATGTTATGGAAAGCCAAATATTTTTTTTTATAACTTTATTTTTGTTATTTTTAGGGTACACTCCAGAAAAAAGGTCAAACATTATATAGAAATAAGATGCCAGAAAACAGTGAAAATTTTCTTTAGATCTTTTTTGTAATTTATTTATTTTGCATATTTCTTGTTTAATTTGAGCAGGAAGGTTGTTTAATAGAAATGTCTGATTCCTAATGGCTCAGTGAGTTATTAACCTGTGTAATCGACGTGTTGATTGGTTTCTATTTTAAACGTCATCATTGAAACGGCGGGAATTCCGCTGGGGTTGCCAGGTAACGGGCGGGGGTTGCCAGGTAACGGGCGGGGGTTGCCGGGTAACGGGCAGGGGTTGCCAGGTAAAGGGCGGGGGTTGCCGGGTAACGGGCGGGGGTTGCCAGGTAACGGCGTTGTGGCAGGTTTTTAAAACTGCTCATTGTCCAAAAAGTATGAAATTAATATCTTTGTTGTTTTTTAATATAATTACTTATAGAAGCAGTTGAAACGTGCAAAATATTTCACTTTTATATTATTGTATATTTATTAGCTTACTTGTCCCGGCTGTAGAATATAAAACATTAACCGTCATAAATTCTAAACTTTTTTTCTCTTTAGTTTATTTGCGTTTTTATCTAAAGGTTGGTTCTGGAAAAACTTGAAAAACTCGATGTTTGAGTGTTACTGTGGGATTTTAAGCTTGTAGAGTTCAAAGATGAACTAATTTAATTTAATGACAACCGTTGTTGAGGTTTTATTTCAGGCCTCTTACATCAGCTGGAAATTCATTAGTGAGGGAGAAACCGAAGGCAGCGAGACCAGAACTGATGGTTAAAACCATCAGAGCTACGCAGCATATCATACTTTATATTAACTATATATACAATGATTTTATTAAGAGGCAGTTTCATCAAAACAAATGTTCCATCTGGACTGTTTTGTAGAATAGCTTTTTTTTAGTTTCTAAAGGTGAAAAATACATTTTAGAAATGTTTTCTTATTTTATATTTTAATGTATTTACATACAGAAAATAAACATACTTGTTACAGTTTGCTTAAAAGCACTTTTTGAAGTTAATGGTGCCAGTTTTTGTTACTAAATGCAGACAGGATGAAAGAAGTCATTATTTCATGAGACCAAGTCCAGAGCGCCCTCCTGTGGATGCTTCTGGTATGACAGCCTTAAACAAAACATTTTGAATAAAAGCCAAAGTTTTAGGAATAATTTTATATTTATCTTTTACAGATGAAAAAAAAAACTTCTATTTTTAAGTCTGGTATTTGAAAATAGAAGTTAATGAGTGGCAGACAGTATTTAGTACACAGCTTTATGAACCTGCCGAGTTTTAAAGGGTTGTTCAACATGCGGCCCGGGGGCCATTTGTGGCCCTTGGAGTGGATTCTAACTCCAAACATCTACCCATTAAACTTGGTTAGATAACAGATAACATGCTGTATTATAGAAAGGAGGGAGCCATTCTGGTTTGATTTGATCTGGAGTAGAAATTAAATAGTTTAAGAAATATTTAGCGTGGTGCTAAATAATTAGCTCAATGCTATCAATGACTTTTAGGGTTATATCTGAAATTAAAGAAGCAGAATATTCCATTTCAAATTAAAAGTGTTAAATTGTGTTAATTGATCTCAAAGTTACCAAGAAAAGAAAATCTGAAAAACTAAAATTTAAAGGCAAAGATTAAAAATTTTAATTTGAAAGTGTTTTTGCCAATATGTTTGTTTTTTTTTTTTAAATTTATGATTAATGTTTCTAAGTATTGAACATGTTAAATACTTGAGGGCTGACGATGTTTCTACAGGGATTATTGTAAACATTTGATTCTTCCACAACATTTCTGACTTTTCAAACTCACAAGTCTCCATGTTTTTTCTGCAAAATTTCTGAGATTAATTCAAAACTTTCTGTTATTTTTTTAAGACAAGTTTAGACTTTTGAAACTTAGAAAATTTGTGAGATTAATTTTTAAAAATCTGTTGTTTTTTTTTCTAACAAACTTTAAACTTTCCATACTGAGAAATTTCCAAGTTTTTCCTCAAAATTTAAAAATTTCTGGAGTTTTGTTATATCACATTTTTAACTTTTGAAACTCAAACTTCTTAGAATGATCTTCAAATTTGAGTTTTTCAAGTCAGTTTTTGACTTTTGAAGCTGAGTTTTTTGGTGTAAATGTCCTGTGTGGTTTTATGCCACCCAGACCGGCCCTAATCCTGCTGCGTACCACCACAGGGCCGGCGCCAGCAGCCGCAGCGCGGCGCTGCCCTCCGGACCTCGGCCCGCCGGGTCCCCCGCATCGCGTCAGTCGTCGTCCACCACCAGCACGTTGCCGCTCAGCTCGTACTCCACGCTGGCCCAGTCGAAGATGTTCCCCTTGGGGACTTTGTGTCCGTAGTGCCAGGCCTGGATCAGGCTCCGGGAAAGCACCGAGTCCCACATGTTGACGTCCGTCATCTCGCCCACGAAGCTCTGCGTGGCCTCCAGGCCGCCCAGGTGTTTGTCCGGGTCCTGGCCCAGCAGCACGGTGCCTTTGGGCCGCACGCTGTGGCCCGGTTTGTACACCTGGTAGGTGCTGCGCCTGCCGTCCGCCCAGAAGGCGGCCAGGCCGGAGCGCGACTCCCAGGTGAGGCAGAGGCTGGTTCGGAAGGTGCTGAGCGGCGGCAGGCGGAAGAAGACGCCGTCGCCGCTCAAGTAGAAGGAGACGCGGCCGTCCTTCTCGCGCCACACGTTGAGCTCGTCGTAGTCGGCGGTGCGGTAGGCGAACAGGATGATCTGGCGCTCCTCTGGCAGCTCGGTGGCCACCCGCATGCAGAGCGTGAAGGCCCGCAGCGCCATCTCCTTCTGCGGGATCAGAGCCACGAAGCTGAAGTCTGTCTCATACGGGAAGACCAGGACCTTCTCGCTGAGGCCCACTGCAGGTACCAACAGAACCAAACAAGACAGCATAATTTAGAGGAGGAAACATGAACAAAACATGGTTTAGTTTTGTACAGAAGAGGATTAGCGACACTGAAAATGAATTCAGAATTTGGACTTTAATCTTTTGAGATCAAAAGTCAGAATTCTGATTTTAAAAAACTATTAAATTTTGGAGAAAAGTGAAAATTTAAAAGCTTGAATTGTCTAATATTTACCTGAAAAATCTGAGAAAAAAAGTTTTTTTGATTTGATTATAATCGATTTTGAGATCAAAGTCACATTGTTAAATTTTCTGTAAAATATTAAAACATTTCCGAGCTGAAAAGTTGAAGTTTTGCTGAAAAATAAAATCTGAAATTTTGAGATGAATCAGAATTTTTCTGAAAAAAACTTCTAAGCCTGAAAATTCAAAAATATATTAGAAAAAATGTAAATCTAAGTTTAAAGTCAGAATAATTTTTTTCGTTATTGACCCTAATCCTCTTCCATAGTTTAAACTGCCATCATCTTGGGAAAAAGTTACTTGTAAGTTAGTTTTTATGTCTTAAAGTATATAGAAACTATACAACACATTTTGTGATTTTGCAGTGCAAATGTCTTCAATGAGGCGTTAAAACACTGATGTTTATTATTTCATTAGTTTCCTTCATTTGAAGGATGTTGGATTTCACTGATTGCTTAAAGAACCTTTTTACAGAACCAGTTTCAAAATGTCTACCTTGTGTGGCAAAGGAAGCGGTCAAAGAGACGAGCAGAACTGCCACCATGGTTGCAGCGTTGATGCCCTGTAAACACACACGTCTCATCCTGATCAGATAAACAAAATCAACCCTCAAATTTCATAATACAAATATTAATATGATAAAATAGTTTTTACCATTTTGAAGCAGTTTGTTTTTCCTCCAGCAGCTGGGTCTGCTGCTGTCATCAGCGGTGGGAACCAGAGCTCTTCCCCGCTGGTACAGTGATGATGTCATCGCCATGACAATGGACCCGTGTGTGAGCCTGGAGGACCGTCGGTCATTTCACCCAGAACCGGAGACTTCAGGCGTAGCTGCTTTCAAAATATCTCCTTTCATTCGTCTACTGACTGGGATTTGATCAGGTTGGAAGAGGAAAAAACACCTGGAGCCTGGCATTAGCATTAGCATTAGCATTTCTGCCACAACATATCTGGGTCAAACAAAAAGGAAGAGCAAATTTCCTCAAAAAAAAAAAAAACTAAATGTTTTAGATTAATTTCAAAAATGTTCTAGAAGACATGAAAATTTGGGGGTTTGTAAAGTTACAAATATTTTTGAATAAAACTCAGAAATTTTAAGCTCGATCAGAGGAATGTTCTAGAAATAAAATTTAAATTTCTGAGCCTGAAAAGTTTAAAATTTGCAAGTAGAAAATCTGAAGTTTTGAGTTTAATCAAAAATTTTCTAAAAAAAATATTAGAAATTTCAAAGTTTGAAAAATCAAACATTTGCTATAAAAATATCAAATTTTCAGATCAATGTGAGAAATTTTATAGAGATGTATGAATTGCTGAAAATTTGACATTTTCTAAAACTGGAATTTTTTATTTTGAAAGTTACAAGTTTGCTTGTAAAACTGAAATTTTCTAGGAAATGTTTTCTGAGTTTGAAAACTCAAAGATGAGCTCGGATGGTGGAATACAGTAACTCACTCACTCTTTGGTTGCAGTTTAAAGTTTTGCCATTTTGCCTCCTGACTGGAGAGAAAACAGGAAATGCTGTGACACCGGTTGGGCAACATTTCAAAATGAAAACAGAACCAGGCGTTCATGTTATCAACATATCTACATTTAATACAGTTTATTAATTTCTAGGATTTCTCCAGACAAAGAAAAGAATCCTAACTTTTCATGAACTAAAATCTGAGCAACACCAGCAACTTATATACAAAGCCTGAACCTCAGCACAAAACCCGGCCTGCTGACTGACGGGCGGACCGGACTCACCAGACACATTCAGCTGTAAACTACCAAGCATTGGATTGAAAACTCATTTTATTCACTGCAAAAACACCAAATCTAAACATTTTTAGTCTCGTTTCTGCTGCAAATATCTCAGGACACATAAAACAAGACAAAACAAGTAACTTCTTAGCAAAATATCGGAGCTTGATTTGAGTCAGTAACTCTTTAAAATTGATGAAAAAGCTCAATCTTAGTGGATTATTTCCCTTAGAACAAGATATTTTTCTACAAGTGAAAAATATCTTCTAATAAAACTAGAACATGTTCATCTCGTAAGGAACTATTAACTTAAAACAAGATGCTTTTTTTTGCTGAACTGTTTTTTTTGTCATTTCAATGTTCTGAGATTTTTGCACCAGAAACTAGGACCATTTTGTTTTTGCAGTGTAAACATCATCAATAAGAAATAATTTCCTTCATTTCAAAGATGTTGGATTTATCTGGTCACTCCAATAAAGAGCCATTTCACCAAAAACCAACTGAAGGAACAAAATCACATGAGAGCGTTAAGGACGCATCGCTGATGCTTACACTGCAAAAACACAAAACAAGGCTGTTTGCCTAGTTTTAGTGTAAATATATCAGTACAGTTCAAATAAGACAAAACTAACTGATAAGGAGCTTTTTAGCAAAATATAAGAGCTTGTTGAGTCAATGACTCCTCAATACTGATGGAATATTTATAGTTCTGCTGAATTATTTCACTTATAAAAAATGTTTTTATTATAATTAAAATAATCTGCCAGATACATTTTAATTAACATTTCTATCGATATTAAGGGATTACTTACTAAACAAATGCTCTTATGTTGCTGAAAAGTGACTTACTACTTAATTTTGTCGTATTTTATGTTGACTAAGACATTTGCAATAGAAACTAAACCAAAAGTATTTTCTGTATTTGCAGTTTTATTACAGAAAATGCTGGAAAGCCAGCAAGCAAACACTTGGACTGAGGTATGGACAAAGATGCTCTAACTCTTCCAGCATGTTTTTTATTTTAAGTGGCAGACACCGAGTCAGTGGTGCATCTGAACCTCAAGTCCGTTCTGACGGGGCAAAGATTTGTCCTAGTTCAAGGAAATGCAATTCATGCTTGATGCGATCCTCCTCATGTTGGGGTCCAGAAACGTCATCTGGGACCAAACAGCGCAGCAACAGCTGAAAGTCTCCCAGGTTTCAACATTTAGGCGTTTCATCTCATGTCCAGCAACGTGGAAAGTTTTGTTTTAATGCAGCGATTCGTCTGCTGCTCCCAGTTTGAGGCTTTTCCCAAAACCTTAAACTGTTCTGATAAAAAAAGAAATATAGAAACCATACATTCAACTTATCTTAATTATCTGCATTGGGGAGAGGGAGTGATTGATATGCAAAGGAGAAGAGACCTATTTAAATCTACTCGTCGTTTTACAGTAAGGAGATGGGACAAGTGTGCAAGAGGCGCCACCTGCAGGAAGAAAAGGGAACGTGCTCCCTTTTCCTTTGAGTCAACAGCTTTTTGGCATTTTAGTGACTGATGGTCCATTTCTCATGAAGAATTACATAAAATATACTTGGATGAAACATCAAATAAAACTCCAACATCTTTATGGATCCCGACACAAAAAGTCTGATTGTTTCTTCTGCGTTTATAACGGGTGGGAACGCCGGAGCGCGGCGTGCAGCAGAGACCCGAGCGCCATCTGGTCGCCCGATCTGAGGCCCAAACACAGCGTGACGAAGACGAGGAGGAAGAGAGTGAACTTAACGGGAGCAGCGGGCGGCTAACACTGAGCCTCAGAGCCGGAGAAAGAAGATTTACTGCAGAAGAAGAAATGATTCTCCGGGTTGGTGGTCCGCAGTGAGGCTGTTCTGCTTCTCTACAGTCTGGCGCCGTCCAGGCTCCGAGCGTCGAGCTGAACGGGGAAACGGGCCGGGCTCCTCAGTAGTCCTCCACCCAGCCGTTCTCCTGGATGAAGGCGTCGATCACTTCCTTCATGGCCAGGTTGGGGATCAGCTGATCCTGGGTCAGGGGGCTCCGGGTCACGGGGTCGAAGTGGCCCACCCGCTGCACAGCCACAGAAATACACATTTAGTAGAAGCATTTTAGAACTGGAACAAGTAATTGATTATTGAGAATGCAAAAATCAATAACTGGAGTATAAAGGTGTAAAAAAAAAAAAAAAAAAAAGACTATTTGCCGCTTAAAACTGGGCCTGAAACTAAATTCTTATTTAATTGATTAATCATCAATTATTCTGATGATTATGAAATAACCGTAAACTAGTAATCACTACGCCTGCAGCTAACAATTATTTTAGTAATCAATTATTCTGATGATTAATCAGATGCTATCAAATATCACATACTGCATATTTTTCATGATTAATCGATTATTGTAATAGTTGCCGGCTAATTTAGTAACTGATTAATAAAGACTTTTAAAAAGACTGTTTTTATTATCTTAAAATACAAAATATATTTTTTGTAAAAGTTGGCTAAATTATTGCTCTTAGCAGGGCCGAAACAATGTGATCAATCAGTTATTGAAGTAACTGTCAACTATTTTAGTAATCAATCAATTGGATAAAGACAAATGCCGTGTTCTAAAGTAGTTTCTCTGTATGAGCCGATACTAAACCTCAGACGTCGGGATCAAAAGTTTCATGAAACCATCAGATAATCGAGTATCAACTCCATTCCAGTAACGGGAAGCGTTGAGCTGCGTATTCGCTCGAGGAGAAAACCTCCAAACATCAGCTGATCTTCATCTGTTGGGCGTTTCTACCTGCAGATGCTCCTCGATGTCTTTGCGGTCGTAGGTGATGCCGCTGGGCGTGATGCACGGCTCCCTCATCAGCTCAAAGCTGATCTTTCCACACAGGTAATCTGGGATCTCTCGCTTCTGGAGAGACGGAGAGAAAAACGCATCCACAGATAAATGTGACGCTGAAATCCAGGTCAGAATGGTGACAATATAAAAACCATATTTGCTCCTCCTGCAGAGTTGAGGTGCAATAAATCCAGATTATCATCATCCGTCTGCTGACAGCCAGCAGTGCGAAAGCAAAACTGAAGTACACATAATGTTTTACTGGTTAAATAAAAAGAAAACAATTAAAAGACTATTTCCCTTCAACTTGTTCCATGTTTGTGTTATTAATGAACACGATCAACAGGAAGTGAAAATCATCCTCCATACTCACTTTTCTTTTCTCGTCCACCTGAGAGAAAAGCTCCTCCATCTCCATTAAATATTTCTCCTGCACATTGAGATGAAACCAGATTTAATTTTTAAATACATCATTTCTGAATTTTTTAAAGGTTCAGAAGAAACTAAATAATAGATCTCATACAATTCATGATGATTAATTGATTATTTAAACAATTGTCAACTAATGTAGCAATTGATTAATCACATTTTGATGAATTATGAAAAAATCAGATATCAATACGCAGCTTTTAAACAGTATTTCTGTAAGTTTTAAACGACGACAAGCAGGAAGGTTAAACAATTATGATTATTTAAATAATCGTCAACTAACTTAGCAATCAATTAATCACTTTATTATAACAGTCGGAAGAAGGAAATAAGACATCAGGACTCAACACATTTTAAAAATTATTTCTGCAAGGAAAACCAAAAAATATAAATTTCTGCTTTTATTTTTAATTATGTCAGTTTTGGTCTTCCATACAGCAGCAATGCTAGTAAATAAACAAAACAACTCACATGTTTAGATGAAATTTTTCCAGCATCACCTCCATTTTGATTGTCGTCCTGTTTCTCTTTGTATTCTTCAAGTTCTCTGTAAAACCAGAACAAAGTTTCCATGTTTAAAGCTCAGAGTTTCCATGTTTAAAGCTCAGTTTCCATCCAGAGGTGAAACATGTCGGTCTGATGTCTCACCTCTCCTTCTCGGCCAGAATGAGTTTGGTCAGGTAGGCGTGAAGCTCGTTCTCCTGGTTGATGCGCTTCTCCTCGATGCTGTTCCAGCGTTTCTTCTTGGCGATGCGCAGGGCGCTCGGGATGTCATCTCCGAAATTCAGCCTCTGCTCTTTTGCCAGGTTATACGCTACAAATGACATTAAGAGGATGAAGTCAATAAGAACAGGCAGAATCCTGAAACTAATATCTCAATCAAAAGCTTGTGAGGAAAATAGTAAATCAGGAAGCTAACCATGTAGCGGTTGAACCCAAGCAGCCATGTTTTATCATCAGCGACCAGAATCAATGACTTTTCTCTGAGTATATCAGTGATCAACAGGCCAAACATTGATTGATTATTGATTTTTTAATATATAGTCGTGAAACGACTGAGTGTAAACTTAAATGAAAGAACAGCAATCAAACTAAAACTGCACCAAACATTTATAGATTTTGCATTTAAGCACTGCTGATTTCTGGGTGAACACTCAGATCTCTAACAGAAATGAGACAGGAAGTGAAAATGTTTCGCTTGCAACAGAGGAAACTGATGACGGTAATTATCCGACCCGTTACGAAGCGGTTTATAGAGGCGTATTTTGGCCGTTTCCTCCGACCTTTCTGCAGGTTGCCGATGGCCTCGTCGTAGTTCTCCAGCTCCAGGTGACACTGGCCCAGGAAGAAGTGAGCCTTGACCGACTGACTGTCCAGCTCCAGCGCGTGCTTGCAGTCTGCCAGAGCTTTGTCGTACTGCTGCAGCTTCACGTGGCAGAGCGCCCGGTTGGTGTAGTACACCGCCACCGACGGATTACGGTTCTGCAGATTGAAGGAAACAGACGACAGAAACTCAGCTGAATGCCACAGAAACACAGCGGATCAATAAACTATTCCCACTGAGAGAACCATGATGATATATTTACTGTTCAGTCCTAATAATAACCTATAAACTTTGCTACTCAGAACAAATTATTGTGACAAACGATAATGTTGTCATTTTGAGGCTTGTTGTACTAAATCACAGGATAATTAAAATGAGCTCAATAATGTCCATTTACATGATTAATCATTTTTCATTCTCTCCCAAAAAGTCTCCAGTTTAATGTTTTGGTCTCAACCAGCTCTTATTTTGAAGGACAATTCTGTTTCTAGAGACTTTATAATTCATTTTATTTATAGTTTTGTTTGTTTATTTTGGATATTTATGATCTTTGAGAATATGCTCTTGCAACATTATGACTTTATTACTGTTATATTACTGAAAGTGGTCTCAAAACAACAATATAAGCGTCATTGGCAACAAATTGTTGTTATAATTTCAGGCTTAATCTGAATGATTGTCAGGAATGTAGTTTCCCTTCATTCTCACAAGCAAAACCTCCTTACTGGAAGAGAACCCAAGATTTATACTCAAATAAGAACAGAAATACTTCAACATGTTTTTACTCAAGTAAAAATAAAAAGTAGCCATCCAAGAAACGACTGAGATAAAAGTGAAAAGTCGATTCCATGCTGAGTAACTGATCGAATTATTTAATATTTAAAAATTACATCTTCAGAGTCACATGGACCAAAATATAAAGTTATGTGGAAACTAGTATTTATGGACCAAAATGATAATAATTCATATAATTAACAAATAAAAATCATTCAAAAAATGTTTCCAAATCAGTTTCTTTCAATAAAAAACGTATGAAACTTTAACAGACATGCAGGTCTGTGTCTGCTGGGATTTTGGTTAAAACATGTTTGTTTTTCCTTCAGTGGGGAGAAAATAGAGAAAATGTCCCCAAGCAGGAATCGAGATAATTCATCATAACAATTACTCAAAGCAAAAGTACATTTTTCAAAGTTACTCAACTAAATGTAATTGAGTAAATGTAACGACCAACTCTGCTGATGACATAAAAATGGTTGGATTTTGTCTTGTTGTGATAAAAATCTGCATGAATGTGTGTTTGGTGGAACAGACTCACGATGGCTTTGCTGTAGCATGAAGCAGCCTCCTGGTACTTGCGGCAGAGGAACAGCCGGTTCCCCTGCTCCTTCAGCTCCTGCGCGGTGGAGCTCTTCTCGGGGCTGCCGGCCATCTTCTCCACCGGCTCCGCGGGGCCCGCCTCGCCCTGCTTCCCGATCCTGTTCCCCGTCTCTCCGGCTGGCTTGGTGGCAGGTGTCGGAATGTCCTGCCCGCCCTGGATCGCACTCAGACTGGGGGACAATGAAGACACAATGCTGGTTAGCATCCGCTGCAACGCACCTGCAATGCGTGTCTCTGGGTGCCACGCAACGCCACGCCACCCGCACGGCGTTACTTTAACTCGCTGACTGTGCAGACTGATGGAAACACGGCGAGGCAGCTGAGTTAACTGTTCACAACATCAGTTAGATTAAATGGGCAGCTAGCCATCTGGACAGCATAACACCCCACCAACACTCTTAATGTGTCTTACTGAGATGAAAATTGCGTTAAATTTGCAAAAAAATAACTCATTTGCGCATTATTATGATGCATGTTATCGGTGTTGAAGTTGTCATCATACAGAATAGAGGCAGCGCCGCTAACTTTAGTTAACCTGGAGACAACACACCGATGCTAAGCTAACTTAGCTAGGCTAACATGTCGGTTAGAATCTGAGTTCGGCTTCAGCTAGCTTTTCCAGTTCTGATTATACTGGCACAATTCACAATTTATCCTCGTCATGAGCTTATGTCGTTCTCCATCCGAGAGAATCGGTACCAGAACCTTGTTTTTAGGCGTTTTTCACCACAACGCCGCCAGGCAGTCTCAACACAGACATAAGCTAATGCTAAGTTAGCTCACACCCGCTCAGGTCCGTTTAAGTTCGGATTTGTTCGGATAACCCGCCGGGTCAGAACCTTACCTTTTATGGTGACTCTCACATTCAGGTGAATGTGGCTTTATAACTGCTCACATAAAATATTGTTCTGGAGATTTCTTTCTTCGAGCTGTCATGACAGGTTGTTGTTATACTGACGTCAAACGTTTTTAGGCGACGTCAACGGAAGCCGAGAAGAAGCGCGGTTGAAATATAGGTTGACGTTTTAAAACGTCCTAAAAATTATGTTGTAATTTTATATATAAAGTACAGGTCAGTTTATTCTGTTAGGGGTCCTTGCATATTGTGATACGTCCCATTTCCCCCCAGAAACTAATAATAAAAAACAAACAATTTATCATATAAGATTACGGAGGACCAAAACTGACATTAAAAATAAAAGCAGAAAGGTTTTTTTGTTTTTTTTCAATTTTTTACAAAATAATGTCTGCCAATATACTTACGACATTCTATATATATTTTTATTGACATTCCATGTGTAGGAGAAAATAAAATAAATCTACTTTGTTTCTAATTATATCAGTTATGGTCTACCATACTTTTTTTCTTATGCTTATGGAGGGCCAAAACAGACATAATTAAGAATAAGAGCAGAAATACACATTTCTGCTTTTTCTTATATTTGAATTGTCATGAACAAATATGTATTCCTTGTTTTTTCCTATTTCTCATACAGATATGTTTGGTCATAAATCCATGTGTAAGAAAAAGGGAAAAGCAAATATATGTGTTTTAACATGTGTCTATAGGAAAATCGAAAAAACAAAACATATATATCTATAATTTTTTTTTTTTTACAACAATGTATGTATAAGCAAAACATACATATTTCTACTTTTAGTTTTAATTATGTCAGTTTTGGACTTCCATATTAGATAGCCAGGAGTGTTGTCTTTTGGTTGATTATTTCAGTGTGAAGATAAATGTATTAAATATAACTTTAAAGAAAACCCCAGCCACAAATATAAAACATGAAATGCAAAGTAATCACCAGCAGATGGCGCTCTGAAACAACAGAGGTTCAGTTTACAGTAGTGGACAGTTTACAGTAATCAATAAGCTACACAGGACAGAGATATTAATGCATTTCACCAAAAAACAGATTCCTGGTTTGTCAGCAGAAAGAAAACCGATCATCAGATTCTTTAAACGTTTGCAGCGATGATATGATATTGAATTTATCCGAGTCCTGCCACCCACAGAGATCTGTGGACACAAAGATGCTCCAAGTTTAACGAATTAGCAGGACTGTGGTTGTGGACAGAGTCGCGTCTCTGTGGGGAGATTAGGACGCATCTCTGAGCAAACAGCCTGATCAATGAGGAGCGGGGGGATTCCCAGCTGTGTTTACACACACAGCTAATCTGTAAAACACGCACAGACCTTCACCCACTGCCGTAACACCGAACTCTGTCTCTGCAGCTCACAGCATGACAACATATTTTAAAAAGTTCTTTCCAGACATGCTGAGAAACATTCACAACTTTTCAAACCTCCTGAAACTCATTTTTCTGAAGATTCAGCAACAATTTTAGTTCATTTTATACAGATTGAAACAATGCAGTTTTTTTAATGATTTTTTTGTTGTTGCATTTTTTAATTTTATTTTTTGTTAGCAGAAAGCTGCATAGGGCTCTTTTAAATCTCTTTTAAGTTTCAATGCAGCAAAACAAAAACCGATTTTCCACTCGACTCAGAGTTTTTCTATCTATACGATTAATAGGCAAGATCATTTTTTGACCATATCATCATTTTTATTCATATTTTTTAACTCCAGCTTGGATAAATTTGAGTGTTTAATGGATTTAATGGTAGCAGGTGTTGGTTGATATAGTTATGCAGTAGCTCCTGTTATTCAGACAAAATGAGGCAAATTTAACTGAAACATGTTGGAAAAGAAATGAAGTCATCAGGACGATGGTGGCAGCATTATGCTGCGGGAGTCATTTCATTCATTCAGACACAGAGAAACACACAGAACAACGTTTGATGATCTGTTTGGAACCCAAAGAATTTACATCTGATGAATATTTATAATATGAAGACAAGTCGTTTTTATTTTTTCCAAGTTCCAAATACATTTTTTTTTAAATTTAAAGTAGTTTTTAAAAAAAGAAAAAAAGTTCACCATTAGCATTAGCATGTCAGTTAATGGGAATATGAAAGATTTGCGACTGGCGCAACCAGGAAGCACATTGAGGTCACTTCCTCTTTGTGAATTCAAACTCGTTACACTTAATTATAGATTTTATTTTTCTACTGTACCGGATGCAGAAATCATTTGTAGAAGTTTCCTCACCAGAGTCACGATGATCAAAGGAACAAGACAAAATTTTGACGTTAATCTCCAAAAAGTTCTAGTAAAAAAAAAAAAAACTCTACACGCTGTTGTAAAATAATCTGTAACACATTAAACACATTAGTGCCGTTTTGCTCACATTTAAAAGTCAGTCTGTCTTTAACGACTGCAGCAGCTGGCCAGTGTCCAGTAACCATGGCAACCTGGGCAGGAAGTTGCCTGATCCTTTTGGCGCTGCCACTTCCTGTTTGAGGTGCTCTTTCTCTCTGTCTGTCTTTTTCCTCCCATTTGGCAGAACTTCACGCTGCGAAAGCCAGAAACGCTTCAGCAGAGAGAGAGAGACGCAGCGAACAGGTTTTCCTGAAAACACAAAGGCTCTGCGCCGCCACGACGCCGGGCCTTTATCCAGGCCTTTATCCCGACTGTTTGCTCACTTTGAAAAGAGGGAATGTTTAAAAGACTTGTTGCAGTTTGTTCAAGTGGTTCTGAATGGGAAGAGTCAAATAGACAGTGCTTTGGAAAAAAACATTAAACGTTTTCACAAACTGTCAAATCACAACCAAAATTCATTCTGAGGCGATAAACCAACACAAAGCAGCACAGAAAGGAAGAAAATGAGTCAGAATCTCCTGAAAGTCTCATGAATTTGTAATCAGAACAAGATTTTTAACGTAATATCAAGAGACATTTTTCCATTTCTCCCACTGGTTCTCAATTGGATTCAGCCTGGACTTTGACTAGGACATTCTACCACATGAATCGATCTCAACAATTCAATTGTAACTTTTGTCCAATTTCAAACAGCAGTTGTTCCCGGATTGCCCTGAATATTTGGGGAAAACTTCTTCCTGACTTCAGCCGTGTTTCCGTCAATGATTTTTCATTTTAAATTATCGCATCAGAAACTGATGATGGAAAATATGAATGACTCAAAAAAGTCAGGTTCATCATTCACACAGCTAAAACATAGCAATAAATCTATGAATAGATATTTATTTCTATTAATGTACCTATTTATACGGAAGAAAATCAGTGCCAACAAGAATAAATAAATTCTGACTTTATTCTCGGAGGACTAATTCTGTCGATCGATTTCAAAATCCAAAAAATAAATAACCAAACATTATCATGTGTATGTCAATTATGTCGTCAGTTTATAAAAGTGATTAAATAACTTATAAACCTTCACTTTATCCATGCTGACAGTCTGCTCCACATTTATTACATAGGTTTGAGTTTTAAAGCTAAATTTGTCTGACAGCATATGAACAATAAAAAAAAATCTGAAATGAGATAAAAGTTGTAATCTGAGATTCAGATCAAAGTTCTGAAAATAAAGTGATGATTCTGAGAATAAAGTCAGAATTTATATTTTTCAGTGGCCCTAATTATTAATTGACTAATTTTATTTTTGGGCACAAACCACACTCTGTACATTTTTAACAACTTAAAACAATCAGTTTTTTTCCCTTTGTTCGCATCAACCAAACAAAAATCTACCAGTTTTTAAAAAACATATTTAATATTCATTAAATTCACATCGGAAGCTAAATCGATAATATTTACCAAACACAAAGAACCAATCTGGACATTTTTCTTTTCACTAAATCTAGAAACAAACAAACAAAGTCTTGGGTAAACCGATATGCAGGAGTTTGTTTTGGAGCACGCTGCGTTGATCCAGAGGTATTTCACACCCTGAGGGGTCAACAGCTGAGCGGCTGCCCCCCGCCGGGCTGCAGGCCGGACGGAAACGGAGCGAGGAGCTGAAACGGACCAGAACGTTTGGAGGGAAACTGAAACTCAGGAGCTCAGCAGATGAAACGGGAGCACAGGGTCATCAGGGTCATCATCCATTCATAATGAAATAATGAAAATATTCATTTTATATTTATGCAGGAATCTGATTCATTTCAGAAAAATGTTTGAATTCTTAGAAAAAATGACAGAAATTTGAGGAAAAAAGTAACAAATCTGAGAAAAATTGTGAGGAAAACTGAAGTGAAACTATAAAATGTTTCATTTCTTCATTAAAATCAATAAAAAAATGTCCAGAGGAACTGAAGCGGCATCAAGAAGTTACTTTCCCTCCCTGTGTGTCGACGCCTCCGTCCCTCCCTTCCCCCCGGCTGCAACTCTTCACATGTCGCCTGAGGTCGCGCTCTTCAGGGTCACCAGGCTCCGCCGGCTCCATCCCCCAAAAGTTTCAGTTTTGCTGAGGTTTGATGTTCAGTTGGTTTCTGAAGATAAAAATCTGTAACTTTCTTTGTAACATGTAAAAAAACTTAATTAGACCGTAAGCTGCTAGCTATCACTGCTTTTAGCTGTCAAGTTGGTAACATAACACTCTAAAATATTAAACTATGTGATTTATAAAAGAAGAATCGATGCAACAAGGTCATCACCTTTCACAGATCAATAAAATGTTTGAACAAAAACAAAACGAGACTGAAGTAGCTCAGTTATGCTAGTTTGACTTCGCTGCAGAATTTGGTGTTTTGGATCAGTTAATAAAAAAAAGCGACTAAATCTGACAGGTTTAAATTGGCTAATCAACCACCACTGTGTTAGCTTAGCTGCTAGCCGCCACGGCTAATCTACCACAATGATCATTTAATAATAATCACTTAATAAACATCAAACCTGGAAACAGACAACTGTAACAGACTGAATGTTGTGTTCTTTGAGAGGGAAATGTCTGAGTGTTCTTTGGTGTTGAATTGATCGATCAATCAATCAATCAATCAATCAATCCAGTTTTAGTCAGTTCCTGTATTTAACCAGGTTTGATAAAAAAAGTGTGTAAATGATCTCATATGGAAGACAATCCATACCAAATGTTGAAT